CAGTGTCCCCCTCAGCTCACAGCGTCAGCTCTTCACGGCTGTGCTTCCTGCCAGCCTCTCCCCACCTTGATCATCCTCTGACCAGCCCCCAGAGTCACATCTCTAACCCCCATCTCGTCACTCTACTCCTCAAAAACATTCAATGGCTCCCTAGCGCCTACGGAATTCGTCCAAATTCTTTTAGCCTGGTATCTAAGATCCTTCATAATCTGGCCTGGAACCATCTTTCTGAAATGGCCCTCCACTATTCCCCTGCCTTCCCTGCAGTTTATCCTCATTCTTTTTTTTTAAAATTATTTTATTTAATTATTTTTTAAAAATTTATTATTTATGCCTATAGCACCTGGTCTATCTTAGGTGGTCTCCCACCCAAGTACTAACCAGGCCCGACCCTGCTTAGCACATGCTCTCGGCATGCTTCCGGGGCCTGGCGCTCCCTGCACACTCAGGGGGCCTGGCACACCCGGGGCATGGTCCATGGCTCCACCTGGGATGTGAACCCCAGGACCTTCTGCATGTAAAGCAGACGTGCGGACCGCTACACTATGGAACCGCGTCTGACCTTCATTCTTTAAGACACAAGCCAAAGAAGCCGCGCCAGGTCGCCCGGCTGCCCGGAGCATGACTGTTGGAGCAGACATTGCTCTTGCCAGTTCTCTAGCCCTGAGCCTATGCTCTCTCACTGCTGCAAATGCCTGGTCCTTACAAGAAACAGTTTATCTATCTTGTTGAGGGCAGGCAACCAGGTCTTAAAACAAAAGTGACCGCAAACATTGTAATACTGGTTTGGCACTTCAGCAATCATCTTCCCTTTCCCATAATGCCTATGTGAAGCGGACAGGGCACAGGTTATAATCACCTGGCAGATGAGGAAACAAAGCTCAGAAAGGCTAAGTGACCAACCTGCTCACAGTCACAAAGCAACCAAGCGGGGGGGATAGATCTTCTGGATCTTCTGACACCCGGTTCTGTCCTTGTTCCATTACCCGCTGCGGTCACCCTTCTGCACTTCCCATTTCCCAGACCTTATCTATGGTTAGCGGCTGCCAATATTAATCGATTTTAAAGCCTCCCATTTCAATCCCTGGGTAAGGTCCAGCTGCCACTGCGACCCGGTATTTCTCTGCTGACACAGCCTCCACCCCTGCCTGTCTTATGGGAGGCTGCACCCACACTGGAAAGAGCCAGGTACAAAGTCACAGGCCCTGGATCCCAGTGCAGCCTCTGTCCTTCAATAGCTGTGTGACCTTGGGGAGCCCCGCCCCACCGACCGTGTGAAGGACTGGGCACCATCACATAGTTCCCAAATTAGGTGCTGGTAATTTCTTTTTTTTATTGAGTAGGCCCTTAAGGCTTTGTGGGAAATGTAACTTGTAAAAACGTTAAATAGCTACACCTTTGCCCCCAGCAGCGCCCAGGCCTGCCTGGTCCTTCCCCAACTTCAAAGCGAAGGTGGGGCATTGTCCCTGTGCAGGGACATCCAACGCCCAGGGCCAGCTTCCACCGCCGTTATTTGCTCCCCACTCACAGCACCTGCAGCACCAACCGGAAGAGGAAAAAAACGCGTTTACCTGTTATCCAAGATTAAACCGGACCCCTGCCCACCTCGGGGAAGAAATCAGTCTTTAAACTTCGCCATGTCTAACTAGTGAAAGTTCCCATGCTAAATCCTTAAAGATTGTCACATTCTCAAGTTCTCCCTGCAAAGACGGCCAGGAGCACCCCGGTGGGCGAACGGGTGAGTGGCTTGCTGTCTGGGAGAACGTCCCCTGGGAGCCACGGGCAGCGGGTGAGAGGGCGTCAGGGAGGACTCGCTAAGGGGTGCTGGGGCGTGCGGGCTGATGCTGGAGGCCCGAGGAGGCGGGGCTTCGCTCTGGATTGGCCGTTCTCGGGGAAGGGGAGGGGGCGTCTACCATCAGGTGTCTTCACAAACCTCATCTGCCCCGGAAGGCCGCCGCCAGCGAGGCCACAGCTGCGGTGGGCGAGGCAGCAGGCACACGTGTAGCTGGGACCGAGGATGGTTGGTCATCTTTGTGGCTTGGACGATGCCCGCGTGTGGTCCGTGTTCACGTCCCACAGGACGGCATCGAGCTGCGCGGGCCAGGCCCGCTGTGGGCCGTCAAGGCTGCTCGCTCCTCCTCGGGGACAATGTCAGAGGACAGAAGGCCACCACTCGTGGTCTCTCCGGCTAGAACAGTCCCTAATGCCTCTGTGGACCCCTTCTCAGATGTCTTTTCTTCACCCCTCGCCACTTGATGACTGTCTGGGGGCTACCCCAGGTTGGCAGAACCTCAGGCCTGGGGATAGAGTGGATGCGCGACCACAGCCCCCCTGCTCTGTGGGTGGGTAGGTGGGAGGCACGCCTGGAACTCCGAGCCAGTCCAGAGCACTGTTCCAGCCGGAATGGGCATCGTGTCCCAAGGGAGAGCGGAGATGGCCAGGCAAAGGCCGAAGGGACAGGCAACAAGCGTTTGTTGGAGATCAGAAACGAACAGCTATTCGGGAAGCACCGATTGAGGCAGAAACCCAAGCAGTGTTCCAATCAGGAGACAAAGGCAAGAGGTGTTCATGAGAAAGGGACGGGGACACCACATCCCCGGGAGGAGGGCATTTCCATTAGTGCAATAAGCTACCGTAGTGACACTCATTCTAAAGAATGCGTTTAACTTTCAGTCCAGTGGCCACCAGGCTGGTAGTCATGTCTGCTTTCTTGTTATCTTTGCAAACAGTTCTTCAGGCCCAGTCCAAAGGTTATTCTGCCCTGTTTTAACATTCCAGAGGTTTGAGGCATGAGACGTGCAAGGCAGTTCCTCTGGGGTGGCAGCTCCGGCTCCGTGTTACGGTGGCTTCACTTATATTGTTTTCGCGCTGTCATTTGGGCAAGGGAGTCGTTCACAATCTACATCAGTAATTATATTTATGCATAGCATCACGTTACTCAAAAAACCAAAACAAAACAGAAAATGCTGGCTTTCTCTGAAGCATCTAAATTGGTAGGATGCTTAGGTGAGAGAGGAACTAAAGGACAAAGGACACTCAGTCGGGCAGTGGTAGCCTGGGACCTGGGAAGAGAGAAGCACAAAATGTGACACTTCTCCAAGGGCACGCCAGCTCTGCGACACCCCCGCCCCTACCCCCAGCCCTTGCGGCTTCATCTTGAGGCTGGGCAGGGCTGAGGCCTGGGGCAGTGGAGGCAAACTGAGTACAAGGTGTGTCACCTGTCACCAGTGAGCCACCTGGTCAAAGACCAAGTCCCTGGAGCTCTCTCTCCCCTTCAGCACTCATGAGCCTCCTGGGGCTGCTGTAACAAATTACCAGGGTGGGGTGGGGGGCGGCGCTGAAAACAACAGATATTGATTCTTTCAGTTTTGGAGGCCAGGGCCTAAAACCAAGGTACCCTCAGGCTCGGTTCCCTCTGAGGGAGAACTGGTTCCGGCCTGTGTCCCAGCTTCTGGTGTGGCCTGCACTGCCTGGCTCCCTCAGCTTCCGCAGCTGGGGGCAGCCTCTCTCCAATTGGTCTTCAAGTGGCCTTGTCTGATTGTCCCTGCCCTCTCCAATTCTGATAAGAACACTAGTCATTAGATTTAGGGCTGTTGTGCAAGCCTGACATTGTGTTGTGTTTTGTTTTTTCCTTTTTTGTAATGCAAGTGCCTGACTTAAGCTCTGATGGTGAGATATCCCTGTCAGAGAATCACCCACTGGCTATCTTGAATAAATACTTTTCCAGCCAGGAGACTAGACAAAGAGCCAGGTCTCTACACCCCACTGAGCTTCCTTTGTTTAGAGATCTTGGTTGATTTCAATAACAGACCATGACCATTGGGCAACCTGCTCCTAGGTTTTACATTTGCCGGTAAAGAGTGAGCCCGCAAAACCCTAGGCCCCCATCCTCCACCCCAATAAAAGCGGAACACCCAGCCCATACATACCCCCCTACCCCACTCTGCTGTGTGGCCCTGAAGGTCATTGCTGAAGGGCATCTTGCAATCACAATAAGAACCACAAGGGCTGGTCCGGCAATAACACCAGTTGTTGAGACCAAGACAAAACAAAGGCCCTCTGAGATGACCTCATCTTGAGTTCCTGAACTAATTACCCCTGCAAAGACCCAATTTCCAAATAAGGTCGCATTCTGAGGGGCAGGGTCTAAGGTCATTGATGTCCCTCAAAGTTGAGGTTTTGAGGGTGATGCTCCTGCAGAGGTAGAGCCAGCCCCAGGTTCAAAGCCCTGGCTGGCAGTGGAGGCCACTCGAAGGAAGTTGCTGCTGCCATCCACAAGGCCACCACCTTGGCCAAGCTTCCAACACCCCAGTGTAGAAGGTCACCAGGAACAAAGCCAGCAAGCCCCCAACTGGCCCCTGCCACCACGGCTGTGTGTAGTGCACTGGTCCCCCTGCCCAAGAAGCTGCTGCTGCTGCAGGTGGCAAGGCCTGCCACACCTGGGCCACGGCTGCACAGCGCCGTTCCATTCCACAGTCCTGACTCCTCCCTGGATGGAGACTTTGCTCAGGAATTTGCTGTCTCGTTATGACCCACCTGAGGGACCAGGAAGAGAACCCGGACTTCGCATGGGGCTACCGCGCATCATTTTTGTATAAGAAAAATCAAAGGAGTTAAACTTGAAAAAGAAAAATAATTGGACAAGCGGCAGGCAGGGGAAGCCCGTGGCTCCCTGCAAGGGACACTGCAGTCCCCCAGGCTCATGCCTGCTCAGGGAGCACCACGGCTGTGGGAGCAGTGAGCACGAAACGGCGCTCTGGACCATCCCAGGCACAGAAGCCCCGGAATGCTATTTTTAACTTAAAAACATATGAGATACAATATGGTTCAGGCCGGGGCAAATCAGAAAAGACAAAAAATACCTCGTCTTCCTAAATGAGAAACAGGAAACAAAATTGGATACCGCTCCCGCTTCCTCACAAAGTGTCCTGAGATGCCCCGAGGGCACTCCGCTTGGACCGGCTCGCATTAAATGACACAGTGGACACCCTGTGGGTCCCTGGTCACTGAGCAGCACCAGGCACTGAGCCCAGAGGTGAGCTGGACGGGTCTCTGCGGCAGGCCCTCCCCTGCCTCCCTGGACCGTGGGAGGCTCTTGGCCTGATGGGAGAGACCAAGGGCCAGGCGGCTCAGAGGAAACACCACCGCTGGCTTCCTGGGAGAGAGAGCGGAGCTGGAAATGGGGCCTGGATGGAGGGAGGAATTTGCCAGTCTCCTAAGGGATGATGATGCAGGTGAGTTTGGGGAAGGTGGCGACGGTGTGTGCAGAGGGCCTCCACGGACAGGAGGCTTTGTGGACTGCGATAAGGAACCACTGCACGTCAGGAAGAGGTGGCCGCAAGTCAGAAGACCCCGCTGGCTGGAGTGGGGGTCCCAAGTGGATGTGACATGGCTGTAGGCTGACTGGCGGGCACTCCAGCAGTGGTCCAGGTGGCAGACGGAGTGAGAAGCCTGTCACGGGGCCTGGGGACGCTGAGCTGGGGGAGGGGGGACACTTAGGAAAATACCTGCATTCCTGGTTTGAGAACCCACCAAGGAACATTGGGGGAGTAGCCCCAATGAGTAGCCCGTTTGAGAAGCAGGCAAATGATAGGTTTACTCTGGGAAAAAAATCAAGCAAATCAAATAAAAAGACTCATTGTGAAAATGACCAGATGGTGCAACCCTCAGATTTTGTAAACACCCCTCATCAAAAGGAAAGCAAACAACAGGAGCTGATAAGGCATCAGAAATTGTCATTCTGGAATACTCCAAGGGGGGCCACTGCAGGAGTGATGAGCTGTCTGTCCGCAGGCCTGTAACTTTCCAAGCCGGCTTCAGACCCCACGCACTTCCTACCCGTGTGTGCTCTGGAAGTGTCGGAGGAAGCATCTGCTCCAGAACATAACACCGCTGATGGAACAGTCAATATTTGACACAAATCTGTTTAGCAGACACTTGTTCTCACCTCACAACCTGGTCAGCAGCAAACCGATGATCTCACTCCCTTCTTCACTCAGGGGTCAGCATTCCCGGCCAGGGACACCCCCCCTCCCCCAGCTATGTCTGAGAGGCAAACATAAAACAGCTTAACGGGGCACCTGGGCTGTCAGAACCAGTGCGGGGACAAGCTGTGTGGGGAAGCCCGGGGCGAGGCCCGGTCAGGGGGATGGCGCCCCCTCCTGGTAAGAAAACGCAGAGCTGTGACAAGAGCCAGCCGGGCAGGCAGTGGCACTTGTGATTTCTGAGGTGAATGTAATTAATCCTTTTCATACACAGGTAGCAAAGGTTCAAAGAGCCACCAACAGCCGTGGGACACTCATCAGCAGCAGAGCCCAGAGGTTCAGAGCCACACCCCACATCGCCATTAGCCCTAAATGTCGAGGAATGAGGGCCAGGCACACACACGTCAGAGTTATGAGCTGGAACTTCACACTTAAAGTGAACACAGCACACAAATCCCCCCAAAATGCAATTTATTGGGATTCTGACTAAATACCATTTCATTATGCTTCTCTCACTTTACACAGTGCCATGTTCATTTAAAAGGACCTTTTCCCTAAGTGGCAGTGAGACATCGTTAAGCATATGTGGGTGCATGTGGGCACAGAGACACACACACATGCCATGTAAAAGTGACACATGTTCACGCATGGGTACGGGAGAGACCTCTATCTGAAATATGTTCCCAGGGTAATACTGTGAGAACAAAATTCCAATATAACATCACCACAAAAAGTAGGTGGGGAGTTTTAAATGCATGGGTACGGGAGAGACCTCTATCTGAAATATGTCCCCAGGGTAATACTGTGAGAACAAAATCCCAATACTAACATCATCACAAAAAGTGGGTGGGGAGTTTTAAACATAAATTCTAGACAGTGAATGAAGCACCAGTAAACAGGCATCGATATGATCTCAGTAAAGACTCTTAAGAATAACATCGTCTCAGGATTATTCGAATGCGTCGGTCACTCTGCCCAGCCGAGGTTTCCTCCCATGTTTTTCTGTAAGTCACCACTGTCCAGGATGGCTTCCTATAAACACACATGGAGAGCTTGTCCCCGCTCTGGGCTGCCAACAGTGCTTACCTCTGCTGCAGCACATCCAGATGCTGTCATATGAGCCACACGGCAGGACCGACCTGGTTTCATCTGATGGAGTGACTCACCTACACAACCAAGACCCACAACACCTAGACAAAGGCCTTTGTAAAGACAAATTACCGAGGAATCTTTCTAACTGCTCGTTTTCCTCAAAATCAGAGTCAAAAGGAATGAAACCAAATTAGCTGTCAGATTACAAATCTTGCTTTCTCACAGCAGCATGAGTCTGTAAGACATCCAGGTTTTGGTTTTAATTTAGTGCAAAATTTTAAAAACATGAATACTTTAAGCTAGATCACATGCTGAAGCTTACTTTCTGCTGAGCTAGTTTCGTACATTTAGTTAGTTCTTCCAGCCCTACTGAAAGACTGTGATGTTGTGATTTATAATAATATGTATTTGCTCTTCACCTCAGTTCCTGGCACATCGCTCCTAAAACCCTTGTAATTTCCTTCCTAAGAGCTCCAGGGGCATCTTTTCGTTATAATATATAGCTCTGTTCACAGTTCCTGAAATGGCTCCAGCACAGAGGGGTGAAATGTGTGCCTTTTGTTATGCATAACAAGCCCCTTGCAACTGAGCCAGAGTTTGCACTAAGGCAGGCCTGGTGTGGGGGCTCCTGGGTAGCCTCGGATGGGGCTGGCTGCCAGGGGAACACAGCACATGATCACAGGGTTGGCACCGTCAGGCCTATCCTTCAGTATCTGGGGAAGGGAGAAGGGCTGGAGGTTGAACCAAGCATCAATGGTCAATGATTTAATCAATCATCATGTCTGGGCAGGGCATGGAAGTCCTGCGTCCCCCCACCAAACCTTGTCCTGTGAACCTGTGCCTTCTGGCAGTTCCTGAGTTGTGTTCTTTATAATAAGCCAATAATCCTGTAAGTCAACTTTTCCTGAGTTGTGAGCCACTCTTGCAAATTAACCCAACCCTTGAGAGGGCTGCAGGAACCTACAGCCGGTTGGTCGGACACACAGGTGGCAGCCCAGACTTGTGACTGGCATCTGAAGTTGCAGGAGTGGAGGACAGTCTTGTGGAACCTGAACCCTTAACCTGTGGGATCTGCCACCATCTCCAGGTAGATAGCGTCAGAACTGAATTGCAGGACACCCAGATCTGGCTGGAGAATAGATAAATCCCCACACGTTCGGTGTCGGAAGTATTGTGAGTGTGAGTAAAGTTCCCCGGGAATGGACTCCTCAACCGTCCAAAGAAGAGCTTTTATTTATTTACAGGGCTTAGGAAAAGAAATAAGCTCTAGAAAAGAGAAATGTCAAAATCGGCCTCTGGCGAAGGCCCGGGCACAGTTAATGGTTCTGGTAGGGTCCAGTCTGGAGTCGCGCTCTTTCTGGTGGTCACTTCCAGCTTGTGGAGATGGTCCTCCCTGGGTCTCTCGACCGGCCCCCTTTGGACCCTAGCGACTGGCTTGATCTAGTTCTCAGCTCTCGGTCAGCCCCGTCCCCCTGCGCCAGCTCCTCATCGTACCTAGCGACAGAGGAACAAAGAGAATCTCCAGAATCCAGCGCCCAGGACGGCCATTGGGCTGCAGTCACCCAGAGAAGCAGCCTCGTCCCTGCCCCACATGCCTCCAGCCCACCTGCCTCCCAGGCGGCCTTGGCAACCCACCAAACAGCACCAGAGCCCACGGGCATGTGTGCGCAATCCTGTTAAACTGTTGCTGTGGACAGTCCGCAGCCCTCAGAGCTGACATTTTATACAGGCCACCAGATCGAATGTGGCAATGACCCCCAAAGGAAACGTGAATGAGACAGCAGGACAGTGAGGGAGAGAACTGAACACGGGAAATACTTTGCACACAGCATGTGGGGGCAGGTATGACTAAGCCCGCTCCAGGTAAGGCAGGGGCTGAGAGAGGCCTGTCCAGCAGGAGGCCAGGCCAGGGTTCCGCAGTTCGCTCACGGGAGGGGCCGGTGACCCCTCCAGCAGCTGCGACCTGGCGCCCCAGGAAGGACGATGCGTCGGGCCTGCGTGGTACTGAGTGACGGCCTGCGGAGGAGGTGCGGCCTGGGCTTCTGCAGCAGGAGGAACAGGCTGGACCGCACCGTCCCTGACCAGCTGTGGCATCTGGGTTGTCCCTGGCCTTGCTCGTGCAGTGGGGCCCCCTCGCGGGGTCCCATGATGGCGGTGGAGTGCCGCCGCATCCACTGCAGGCCCTGGCGCCACATGGGCTCTGGCGGATGGAGTCACCTTTCCACTTCCTACCGGAGGAAACGGGCTTGCAGACGTGCACCGCGCTGAGGTCACGCGGCTGGTGCGTGGCAGAGGCAGGAGTAAATGAAACCCGGGACTTCAGGCTCGTGGAACTTTCGACCCTGCAGATCGGAGGAGCGGGAACACTTCCCGTTCCCTCTTCAAACACCTTCACGGGCGGTGTGTGCGCTGGTCACGCGCCCTGCGGCCCCTGCCACACGCAGACCCTCGCCTCACACGCGAAGGGTGCTAACGTGCTCAGTTATGCTGCACTGGCTGATTTTGCTGACCTCTGGAAAAGGGTATTTGTTATGTTTATTCTCCGAATCAGAATCTACCGGTTGAGTATGATGTGTAGTGTGGGTCAGAAACTTCTGAGGGTGGAGGTGTGTTTACTGCATCGTGCTCCTCGTGGCCAACGAGGCTGGAAGGGAAGGGCGGGCAGAAGGCCAGCAGACTGCTGTCCGTGTGGCAGGTGCTACAGGGCTTCCCGCTGCCAGGGTGGGGACACTAGGGCGACAGCACGTGTGCCCCCTTTCCTCCCTGTTTCCCTAAAGAGAGACAATGCAGAGGGAGGGCTCCCCAGGGACCCTGAAGGTTCCGCCTGTGGGGGTTCTCCCAAGAAGCCTCCCCGCCTCTCCCACCCCAGGGACGGCGGGAGCCCCCGGGCCCCCGTTCCTATGTGCTGGCTCTGCTGCCTGCTGTGTGTCTGCCTCGCTGTCGCAGGGGCTGCAGGGCTCTGCCCCTGTGGCTCACGGCCACCCCAGCACCTCCTTCACGGGGTGGGTGTGCGCGCAGCGAGAATCTACTAAAGCACGGAGGAAAGAACCACGTACGGGTTACCAGTTTCACTCAGCATTTGTGCTGGTCTGTGGAGCTTAAATGCACAAAACAAACAGAAATGACCTGGCAAGCAGCTGGCTTCTGGGAAAGGCTGTTCCCAGGGGCGGCGTGGTCACTGACAGAGCTAACACAGAGGACGGTCAGACAGGGTGGCTCTTCTCGGCCCCCACCTCGTCTGGCAGACTGTCCGGGGCCCAGGACAGCATTCGTGAAGGCTGTGAGAGCAGACGGGGCACCGCAGAGCGCTGCGCAGGGAGTGGACACAGAGTGAGGCCCCGCGGCTTGCGGGCCGGGAGGGCGGCAGAGCACCGAGCACCGGGTGCCAGGGCCTTGCACCCCGCAGGGCCCCCGCCTCCTCCCCTAGCACCAGCAGCCTGCCACTGCCACCGCCGCTGCCATGGACTGCTGCCAGAGGCCGCGGCTGTAAGCCGACAACGGGATCCTTGACCTGGAGGTCGCCTTAAGCGGTGGGGGAGCGGGTCCCGGATGGTGGCACTCAGCTCTCTCAGCTCCACACTGGAGCCTTCCTCGGGCAGAGAAATGGGGGGACGGGGGTTCAAGTCCCCACGCCAGCAGCGCTCACCAGCTGTGAGCCTGGGGTCTGCGTGCCTGTGTGAGGTCCGCTAACTAGTTCGCCCTTTCCTTCTTAAAAACGCTAAATCGAACGCACACTTCCGCTGCTGCGGAGCGTTGGCGAGAGCCTGACACGGACGGTCCTTCGGCTCCACGGTCTCCCCGGCTCCCGTCCTTGGCTCGCCTTCCACCCTGGCCCCAGCAGCAGCACCAGGCGTGTCCTTCCACGTGTCCCCGCTCACCCGATGCCATGTAAGCCACCACACATGGACATGCGCCTCACGCAAGGGGGTGCTGCGGTCACTGCTTATCTTTCCAGGATCATGACGCGCCCCTTTCTGCAGCCTGCTTTCCTGCCGCGGCCCCCGGGCCCCCCGGCGCAGCTCCAGGTCCGGCTGGTGAATGGCCGCCTGCCAGTCCACGGTGTGAACGAGTCGTACTATGTTCAGCCCCCGCCCTCCTGCTGGGCTCTCTTCCCGCTTTTCGTCACTACCAACTCGTCACTTAACCTCTCTAAGCCTTTGTTTCCGCATCTGTCAAATGGACCTGATAACACTCACCTCACAAGGCTGCTGGGGAAACAACGCGTGACAGTGCACGAAGCACTCGGCAGCGGCTGGTATGTGGTGAGCCCTGATTAGCCGTTGTCATCATTTCTTTCCTTCCCAACTCTCTAAGTCGGGTCGCATTATCCCCATTCGAAGGGTGTACAGACTGAGGCCCGAAGAGCTCCAGGGTTCCTGGGTGTCCTCCAGTTCCAACAGCGGGAGCCGGGGCACGAGCCGGGCCTCTCTGCCCAACAGTGACCTGGGCGAGGATAAGCCGTAGGCCTCTCCTGCTCCTGCCTGGCCCAGAACCTCGGCCCGTGCTGGGCATGTGGCAAGCACTTCACTGATATTTTTTAAGCAAAAGACCAGAGGCCTGGTTTAGCACCCAGACACGTTTCCATCCCATGACGTCATTAACAAATGAAATACTCTGTCTACATATGGCGAGCCCATGTACACCCAGAAAATCCAAGCACCCCTCAGTCTGAAACACACGAGGGTGACAGCAAAGTCACATGAAAACTCACAGGATTTCGTAATTGCCAAGAACTTCCTTTGGAGGCGATTTGTTCCATCTGCAGTCCGGAACCATGCCACCAGGGACCGCGATGTTCAGGGTGTCGCTGACCAAGCCGTACTTCAGGACCCGGTCGCTGGCAGTGCTGGAGCTGAGGGATGGGGACGCATTGACCTGTGAGAGGAGAGAAGCCACGCTCTTCACCTGTGTCACTTACTCAGCTGCCATGCATTTAGGTAAAGCTGCAATTTCATACTGCTGATGTGAAATGTCTCAGGGCACCTTGTCGCAGAAGCACTTTGTGATCTACTTTCATTAGCTGTTAGATGAAGCATAAATAACATTTAAAGACAGGATTAAGATTATGAAGTACAAATTGGTCATCGCATGAATAAAAATTTTAGGTCAACATATATCACAAATACGATGTCAGTGTCAACCTGTGTGTGAGCTCTGTCCTAAGTACCAAAAGCCGCCCAGAGCTCTCCTAGAACCAGTGACTCAAATGACCCTGGACGAGCAGCACTGTGGAGCTGAAGCAAAGGCCGTGAGCCCCCTTTTTGCTGAGAGAACAATACCTCACCTCTAAAGCAACATTCTGACTCAAATGAAACCCACCCAATACATGGGAAGTTAGTGCCCTCAGGCCTCTCAGGAGCTAAGCAATGCCAGAAAATGTGCCCGGTGACATGCAGACGCTTACTCCGTGGAGACTCCCCCAAGCCCTCAGTCACCACCTCTTTACTCTCGCTTCAGGCACAATAGCGATGGCCTTGGCGAGCCGTTTTCTAAGGTCACGGGACAGCAGAGGGAGCAGATCTGCAAGTCCTTTGGGTTTCTGCCAGGGTCAGATGTCCTTCGGCTCTAGCAGGACATGGGCTATTTCATGTGCAGTGAAAGGGAGCGTGGACTTCAGGCGCCCTTGAAATTACTACGTAGTGTACCCCAATACCACGATTCTCATTACGAAGGTGATAAAATTTAGATGTTATTATGTGTCTACAGCCATGCCACCCTGAACAAACCCGATCCCGTCTGATCTCGGAAGCTAAGCAGGGTCGAGCCTGGTTAGTACTTGGATGGGAGACCACCTAGGAAGACCAGGTGCTGTAGGTGTAAAAAGCAAAAAAATAAGGAATCGTAAGTTGACAAGGTTCTTGCAGTCTGTGAGGTCAACCAAGGGTTGCCTCGCCTTAAAAAAAAAATAAAAAAAAGATGTTATTGTTAGAAGGGATATTCTCAATTAAGATCCTAGCTCAAGGAAAGGTTGAAGTCCATTCAAGCTATTCTGATTATGATAGAAAAAGAGAAAACACATTTTATATAGCCACATCTATAGATATCTTCCCCTCTCCCACCTCTCCACGCGCACACGCACATACACACGCATAGGGCACTAGCAGTGTAACAGCAAGCGACCTGGACTGCACCGTCCTGCACAGCTCCCTGTCCGATCACCTGACTCTTCCAGGAGCTTCCTGCAGGGGTTCCCACTGACGTCCCCGACACGGGACCGCTCACCACAACTTGCTCTGGAGACCTGGCTTTCCTGGCTCACATGGGGCTCAGCTCAAGGGCCTGAGCCGCCCACCTCTCCGCGAGCGTGGTGAGGAGACACGGCACTCAGAGGCACACACGGGAACAGGAGCCAACAGAACAGGTGGCTTTGTTCTTGCAGCACGGCTGACCCTGTGCCCCTCAGGGCCCTGGGCTCCACCCCCGAGCTGCAGAGCAAAGCAGGGCAACCCATCAAGGTGGGCTCCATGTCAGGGCCTCAGTGGGTGTGCCAGCACCCACTGCAGCTGAGGCAGTCACCCAGGCTTATCGCAGGAGAGGGTGACGTGTGTGCATGTCACCTTCTCCAGAACTTTCTAGAACAGCTGCCATTACATCTCATCTATGCCTCGAACAGGTAGACAAATCCACTTCTGAACTCTGTCTTCATCCAAAGAAGATAAGGTTCCTTATCTCCGGACGGTACCACTTCCAGAGGGTTTCCAGGTCTGTGAGTTCCTTTCCTGAATGGGAATGACGTCCCCCGAGGACAGGGCAGGGCCTCTGAGCATTGACTCGCCTTCCGGGCCACCCTGGGGCATCTGGGCCACTGAGCTCTCATCTGTGGACTGAGCTCACTGGAGGTGAGGGATCCGAGTGGGCTCAGTTCCAACCATCGGCAAACAGACAAACCTGAACCTCTCTCCTGTTACGTTTGAAAAACTCGTCAGAGACCCTGGTCATGCCACCCGGCCTGAGGAGCATTAGGCTGGGGGCCAGCAACCCTGACGCAGGGCAGCGACCTCTGCACAGGCCGTGGGGTGAACGGGCACACGGGTCGTGAAGTTACCTCGATCAGCCAGGGCTTCAGCTTGTCGTCGATGATGATGTCATAGCCGTAGCACTCGAAGCAGTGCTTGTCGTTGTTCATCACCGGCTGCAGAGAGAGCGACCCCGGTTACACGGCCAGCGTCAAAGGCCCCGAGAGACTAGCGTGTCAGAGACGCGGGTCCTGGAGCCTCCGCCCCCAAGGCGTGTCATCTCACCTCCATGACCGGTGGGTCCCAGCCTCCACCCTCAAAGCCCGTACCTCCCTTCCTTCCTGACCCTCCTCAGGGCTCCGAGGTGGACGCTTTCCTCAAACCCAGAAAGGCGATTTATAAAGCAGTCACTGGTGTCCCAGGCCTCACGCATCAGAGGCCGGACGACGAGCAATGAGCATCTCCATGAGCACGAGACTGTCCTCAGAGTGGACAGCGGTCCAGCTCCAAGCCCGGGCACCTGGAGTCACAGCTGTGCAGCCTCATCACAGAACTTGAACCAACACTGTCCGCCAGGCTGTTAGTCCCCTCTCGCACCCTTAGGGATGGGAGGTGCCAGGTTATCAACTTCCATTCGGTTCCACCGCATAAACCGTTCTCCAGGTGCATCAAAACCCACCAGCTGCTCACTTGAAATGCAGATTCCCGGGCTCCACCTGAGCTGCCTGAATTAAAACCTGTGGGAGAGGCCCAGCAAGCAGGCAGCACAGTGAGTGACCCATACAGACACGACAGTGAGGTGTCTTTTATGTTAGTGGACGCATGGACTCTACTCAAAACACTGGATTTAACGCAGGAAACTCCTGCTAAGCAGGGGAAGAGCCCCATTGGCCTCTCGCTCACAGGGAGGGACACTAGGCGTGGGTGGGTGGTTTCGTCACATGATTTAGTGGAACTGCGTTTCCACCGAGAGCCTGGTGTGTTGGGCCCGGCTAGTGCTGCCACCACTGTCCCAGACAGCCGCTGCAGGACAGGAAGTCGCTAACCCTTCTTCATCCCTCAACGCCACTGTCTCCAGCCCGCCGAGCACTCTGCCCCCCAAGCTGTGGCTCCCAGCTTCTCCCTGCCGTCCCGTGTTCTGGGTCAGGTGCCCTTTCACGTGCGTCACCTCCCGTGCCACACCTCGTGTATCACTGCAGCCACCTGCTTCTCTGCTGCTTCTCCTCTCGATTCTCTAAAGACGACACACTTGGTAAAAACAGGGCGGCTAAATGTTTGCTAAGTGAAGAAAGACTGAATAAGTAAATCCCTGCCCCAAACCCCCTCAGAGCCTTAGACACCCACGGCTTCCCAGCTCTGGAGGCTGAGGCCCAGGAGTTGACGCCCAGAGGCTCTGGCCAGAGGACTCCGCCGTGAGACAGCTGAGGGCTGAGGCCAGAACACAGATTTTGTGATCCGACAGCCAACCACTTCTCAAAGCTCGCCAGGACCGGGGAGACAGAGCAGGCTAGGGAGGGTGTGGGCGGGCCGGCTGAGTCAGGCATTAGGACTCCCACGGTCCACGTTCGTAGACTGCCAGCTTCACCTCCACCTCAATCATTATGTCGACCTCTGCAGAGCATCGTTAAGCACCAACCCTGTGAGGTCGGCGCCTGGGAGCCAATTCCATAGAGGCTCCGATAGGCGGGGCCCTTGTGCAAAGTCACTTGTCGGCACGTGGTGGGGCCTGGCTTGAAATCTCTTCTGAGCCCAGAACCTCACACTCACTCCGCACCGTGACCCCCGACCTGCGCTGTCAAGGTACAAGGAGGCATCTGTGGGGTAAGGGATGTGAAACGGCCCCTAAGACACCTCTCCAAAAATGAACTAGATTAGCTAGTTCCTGCATTTTCTTTTTTCATTTTTTTGGCATTAAAACTGGGTTTTCTTTTTCCCATTAAACGTTTCCTTTAAACCAAAAGCAAAGACTGGAAACACACGAAGTGCTCACGTGGCACTTAGTGAGAGAGGATGCGCTGAAGGCAGGAGCAAGTCAGGGAACGCCCGGAAGTGCCCCCTCTCCATCTGTCATCACCTCCGCCCAGTTCTTTCTGCAAAGCTTTCGCATGCAGGGGGAGTCGCTGCAAGCCGATGTTTTCAAGGTACAAACGGGGGAGAGGGCCCTGCTCTCCCCCTGTGCAGGCCTCGCACACGCGTTTCCACACACGAGTCCACAGCACATGTCCCCCAGAGCAGCGATCTCACGGCCCGGACTCCGCCAAGCGGAGGGAGCTGTTCCCACGGGCCGGGCTGTCAGGAGTCCCCTGAGCAGGTCGAGTCCCCAGAGCAGGTCGGGGCCCCAGTGACTGTCCCTCCAATACCTGGCTCTGGGGCTTTGCTTATGTCATCGGGGATGACAGGCACCTCGGACAGCGGCCGGCACGCCGGTGCTCCAGTGCTCACGCCTTCCCTTTCCCTCGAAAACAGCTGCTTTAGCACCGTGAGAGGAAACACAAACTCTGCACGCCAGCCAACAATGTGAGACTTGAGGCTCAAAAACATCATGGCTCCGGCCCTAAATGTCTGTGAAACAGCGAAGCAAAAAACCTAAAAATGAGGGGGCTGCTGACAGTCCTCTAAAACACCAGCTTCTGCCAACACGTTTGTTACTGATTTAATGGGAGAAGGAGAGCCAATGATGACGGGGACACTCCCGGGGCCTGTGGCTGCCGCAAAGGGCCTGGCTCCTGGCACGACCTGGGCAGCACCTGGCCGGAAGTGGGCCCCTCTCCCTCCCTGAATCTCCTCGGCATCTGGCAGACAAGTGGGCGGTGAGACCGTGGAACAGGCAATTTTCAGCAAAGAACGAGAAGCATCTTGCCGGCTGTCTTCCCCTCGGCTGCCTCTGTGCCCGACACTCACCGCCACGGCCTTCAGCGACTGCACGATGATCCAGTGGATCTCGTCGAACAGCTTGTTGGTCACCTCCTTGCCCCGGGTGCTCTCCAGGTAGAGCCGCAGGTTGCTCACAGTCCACTTGCCCCCGTGGATGTGGTTGTAGTCCTCCTGGCAAAGCGAATAGGGGTGGGGCCTCAGGCCATGCACCCCAGAGATGCCCAGCACCCCAGAACACCCCTTGGGTGCCTCTCCTTCCTCCAGGTGGGCCTGGCCCCAGGGGGACCTGGGCTTCCTACCTGAACATGGTTTTAAAGTACTGACTCTGGAATGTTCTCACCAGTAAGCATTTCTACCTTGGCGCACATGCGGTGGAGGGCCGCCCAGACCCCTTCAAGGCCAAGGCACCTCTCGCTTCACCACTATCACTCTGGGGGCTCCGGCCACCCTGACGGCCCTTCAGCTCCTGTGACGCTCCTTCCCACCACAGGGCCTTGGCGCGTGCGGGATCCCCTGCTGGAACACTCCCCACCTCCACCTGGATACCCCCGCTCATACTTCAGGTCTCTGCCCAAGCACCACTCCTGCAGGAAGCCTTCTCCAACCACCTACACGAGGGGACCCCGTCATCTTTCCAGGCCCTTCTGGCGATGCGCTCCTTAGGACCAGAGCGCATACCTCAGCGGGTGACCACACGTTCACCGTGGGGCTGTCTCACGACTGTCTTCCCCACAGGCTCTAGGTTCCATGACAGCAGGGACCACGGGAGTTTCTGCCCACATTGAGCCCCAGCACTTAGCATGGGACCGACGCAGAGACAGGTCCCCACAGCACTTACTGAACAGATGAATGACGGGGCTAAGTGTGCTCAGTAATCGGGCCAACGACCCCTAAAGCACTAACATCTTCTCCTTTTACAACTAGAAGCTCTGAGACCACATTAACTTGCCCAAGCTCACAGAACTGGAGAGGCACAGCTTGACCTTGGGGCTTCCTTTGTCCTCGAGTCCCCTTCCCCCACTGTGGGCTAGTTCAGCTGATGGCCCAGGACAGCCACGCTGGACACTGAGGACTCCCACACCTCGCGGGTGCCAGGGCATCTTGGAAGTACTGCCATGCCCAGCCCACCGTCTCCCACAGAAACAGAAAGCCAGCCACACAATCCGCCCGCTTCCCTAAGCTCAGGAGAAACGCAGCGCTCACCCCATGTTTCTGGATGGCGACGTTGGTGAGGTGGACGAACATGTTGTCCAGCTCGCTGGTGCTGCGGGTGTACTTCACCGTGCAGAAGCGGCAGAACCCGAGCTTGTACCTGCGGGGGGTTCAGCGTTCGGGGCCATTCGA